TGTATCACAAGTAGTAGTACAAAGATAATTATGTATGATCTGATGAGAGATTCAAGGAAATATAGGACATGTTTTAAAGAATGTTGTAAGGCCTGTAATGATTTTGTTTATGCTTATGTTTCTTGTATCAGTTATGACATCTCAAGTTTTAATAATCAATGAAAAACATTTATTCAGAAATACTTTTATGAGACAAATTTCGTATTTATAAATAAACTATGTTTTAAAATAAGCATAAATAAAAAGGTCTATTATGATCGTGAAAATGGGGATGTCACTATATATATATATATATATATATATATATATATATATATATATATATATATATATATATATATATATATTCCAGATTTAAGCTCATCTTCAAGCTTGATTTATGGGTTTGAAAACCCTAACTCAGTCAGACCTTCAAGAACTCGTCAGACCTTCAAGCTCGATTTTGGGAAAACCTTCACATGTGAGTGTGTTCATCTTCAAGTAACCCAAAATACACAATCAAATTCTTCTTTGTTCTTGGAAATCAATTTATGGGCTTGAAAACCCTAACTCGACTAAGGGTTATTCTTGAGTTCGATTTTTGGTCTTTATGTGTTTCTGGAAAACACACATAGCAATAGGTATGCTTTTATGTGTGAGTTGAAGATCGTATGTATGTGTGTGTTCATCTGATCTCGGGTTCTTGAGTTTATGTGTTCATCAAATTTGATTTTGTGTTCATCTGATTTGAATAAACAACTTAAAAAAAAGTTGCAGATGAAGAATGATTTAAAAGGGAGAAAATGGTGGCTTGGATATGATATTTTCTGTCGTTGGTTTGTGTTAATTTGATATTTGATGAACATGTTGTAGCAGGTGGCGATGGAGGGTTGCTTGGATAAACAAACCCAGATCCATGAATTTTTAAGTTTTTGCAGATGAATACATACACACATGAACTTCTGGGTTTTTTTTATCAAATGAATGCATACACACACTGACACATCCCAAAAATACAGTCCAAAAATTTCGTTTTAAAACTTATAACAAAACCATAAATCATCCATCATCATAAAGAAAATCAAGAATCATGTATCTCAAAACATCATATCAAATACTGTATCAAAATCATATGGGAAAAATATAAGAGTCTAAACATCCCAGGCTAAAACTGTGGTGTGTGCCATGCGATCATCCCGATCCCTTCCCCTTGCTAGTGGAAGTACCTGAAATCAAAACTGAAAACTGTAAGCACGAAGCTTAGTGAGTCTCTCCTACTACCACATACCATACACATAACACATAAACATATCTTGGGCCCCGCCCCTGCTACATTGAGTCAAGCTCGGCATCGGCTTTCCCGGCATCGGGCCCCGCCCGACATCGAACCCTATTTGGCATCGGGCCCCGCTCGACATCAAGCAAATCTCAGAATACATAAGAGCATAACAACAATACACATAAACCTAATCACATAACATTAACACTTAAACGTTCCTCAGGCCCCGCCCTGCATCGGACCGTAATCCGGTAACATACTAACATTCCTCGGGACCGCCCCGACATCGAACCGAAGTCCAGAAACATTCAATACAAACACATGCAAGAGTCACAAAGACATCAAGCATACATGCATTCCTCGGGACCGCCCCGACATCGAATCGAAATCCAGAAAAGCATATAATCCTACATCGGGCCCAGCCTGACATCAGACCATAGTCCGGAACTACTACTAACTAAATGGGCCGGCCTTGGTGCCTTAGACCCGTTCCTACTGGAGGAAACTCACCTCGAGTGCTAGCTGTGAAATCTCTTGTGAGGAATCCCTGACGGCTGCTCCAACGACTCCCCGACTATCAATTTCACAATAACATTTAATCAGAATCTGCTAATCCTTCTTAGGGTAAAATGACCATTTTACCCCTGGTCAAAGTCAACGTCCTGGTCAAAGTCAAAGTCAAGGTCAACTCCCAGTCAACCCAACTCGTTGAGTTATCTCCCAACTCGACGAGTTCCTGAACAACTCAGACTCGTGGTCAACCGAGTCAACTAGTCGAGTCCCTTCCCAGACTCGTCGAGTTCTACCTGTCATAAAATCGGGACACCCAGCTTCAACTCGGCGAGTCCCTTACTGGACTCGCCGGGTTCCCCTGTCTGTTTGGGCTATCTTAGAGGATTAAGCCCCTACACTTCAGATCCAAGCTTCATATTTTATAATAACCCTGAAAATGTCCTTTTAACGGTAAAGTTTCTAACTTTACCCCCTTAATACCCCTTCTTAAAGGGTTTAGCTCAAACTCTAATTCCTTGGGACCTAGAACTTGGTCATTGAGCCATCTATCCACCAAACTAAGGCTTACCACTTCAGATCTACTCTTCTAACACTACTTAGACACGTAAAGTTCCAACCTTTCTCCACATGCATGGCCTTTTGGGGCTAAAAAAGGCCAATATAACACTCTATGTCTTGCATGGGGGCTCCAATGGCATAAAGTTTGCACCTTTATGTCATAAAAACCCCTCTAAGTCCTAGATCTGGAAGATTATCCACTTTGGTTGTCCATTCACCAAAAGTTATCATTCTTGGGCCACAATCTTCATAAAAGAGAAAAAGGAAGAGATCTATGAACTAGAGGTCAAGATAGAAACTTGATTACCAGAAAATATAGCCAAAGAAGTGTAGTTTCTGGATCTACACTCTTCCTCTTGAGCCTTCTAACTCCTTCTTCTTCTCCAAGCTTCAAGAACACAAAAGATTGCTTACAAGTGGCTCACACACTCACAAGATGCTCTAGGGTTTTGTGGATTAGGGTTTGGGACAAGGAGGCTGTAAATGAGGCCAAGGGGTGGGGATTAAGATGCTTAAATAGGGTGCAAAACCCAGAAATTAGGGTTTCATTCTTGCTGATCTACTCGTCGAGTAGACAACTTAAACCCCGCGCATAATCTGCCTTCTACTCGACGAGTTAGGGCCACAAACTCGTCGAGTCATTCTCATAAAATGAATAAATAAGTATTTAATGCATACCAGGGATCTGAGCGTTACAATTCTCCCCCATTTGTCTTATACTTCGTCCTCGAAGTCTGCTGCATCTGAAAACAACACTGGATAGTGCTCCCTCATCTCCTCATCGGGCTCCCAAGTTCACTCTGAACCCTTGTGGAACTGTCAAATACGCCGAAAACCGGCTAAACATACTATTGCAGGTCATAAAGACGTATTTTGAACATTTCATCAAGTTCAACGGGAAAATATAAAAAAAAAAATACTCAGTGAGTAAATATGTATAAATCAAAAAATAAATTATTTTTTTAAGTCATTATCCTATTTAAAAATTATAGGTATTTGTGTATCTCTTTTATTAAATAACTAGGTGTAAAACTCGTGTAATACACGAGTTGATTAAGAAAAAAAATAAATATCAAAATGTAAACAACTAAGTATTTTTTAAAATAAGGAATGAAGAAAAGTATTAACAACAATTTGCTATTATATTTAATATTTTACATATATAAGTATAAATATAAAATATTATATGGTTTTTTAATTTTAAAAATTGAAAAATCTAAAAATTGATATATAAATATTATTTATTTTAATGAAACTAATTGACATGATAAAATAAATTTTTTTTATTAAAGTGATCCGTTTAAAAACTAAAACAAATGTAGTAGAAGCTAGGGACCCGATGGTCACCCTGTTCGTAGTGGACGCGTCAGCGTGCCACATGGCAGACCTATTCGGTGACAGAGCTCACTGCCACTGCAGCTACACCACTACCCATAAAATAAAACACCCAAAAACGCCCTCTTTCTTTCGCATCCCCTATTCATTGATTCCAATCACATATTCTTTGGATTCAATCTTTTTTTTTTCTTTTCGATTTCTAGGGTTTCAGATTCTCTTTTCAGTTTTTCTTAAATACAACAATTTCTCACTATACTTTTCTTTTGTCCTTCTTTCTGATCTCGCATCTGCATCTCAGATTCCGATCCTGCCTTTTCTTCTTCGATAATTGATATAACATGTTGCTAGATCTGTTGTTCCTTTGCAGTTTCTGGAGCAAATCACTCTGAAAAGTAAGATTTGCAGATTTAGATCACTTGTTTATTGTTGCTTAGATTCAAGGGTTTACGATTCAGTTTGTGGATTCCGTTAACGAAATGTGTTACATTTGACTCGATTTTAGTAAGATTCGTACTTTTTGAGGATATAGCTCAATTTTTCAGATTATGTTTATTTCGTTACTTTTGAATTATCTATTATTAACACATGTGGCTAGTTTGTCCCGATTCCGGTTTAAGCTATTAAGCATGTTAATATGAAAAAAAGAAGAAGATTGGTTGTCAAAGCCTCAAAAGGATGTAGCAATGATTGTTCTTTAAGATTATAACTGCAAGTTGATCCCTATTTACTATTTGGGTAAATGTTGAAAAACTTGTGTCATTTCCAGTTTTAGCTGATCAAATCAAGTCCATCTTACACATGAGGCTTGATATCCTAAATAAATTGGACACAGTTGAAACTTTATCATGTATTCAAGGATATAGGTTCTGGAATGCAATTATAATTCATTTTTAACTCAACTTGTAGCTTCTTTATCCTGAATGCTCTTAATGTTTGGGGGTTGGCGTTTGCAAATTACATATTTAGCAAATTCAGTATAGGTAATTGGCTTGAGTGTGACATTGTTGTTTAAGAAATTCTATGTATGATAGCAACTCACAAGAAGTTTCCATACATAAAAAGTTGATTTTATTACTACGGAATCATTTGGAAGGTGAAATCATATCTATTTGTAGGAAATTACCATGCATGGTACTGCAGTATTGCATTACCATGTATGGTAACAGATTACATTATAAAGTGGTTGGAAACTTTTCGCGAACTTATTGGTGCACACAAAAGTTCCTCTTGTCACAAGGAATATGATGGATTTGTGATGTTTTGGGTCCTTTCTCTTTTGTTTCTTAAGGTTAAAATTTGGATGATAAGGACAAACGAGCTTGTGGACTCTTAAATGGTATGCAGCAGCTATCTCAGGACAGTAATTGTGCAAGCTGTGAATATTCAGAAAGTCGCAGAGGGGTTGTTGCAGTTTCCAAATTTTAGAAAAGGTCTGAAGACTGTTTCTACAGCAACCTTTTTGTCTGATCGAATATTTCCTTCTGGTAGAAGAATGATGGTGGATACCAGTGCAACGGGAAACCAGGGTCCAACTACTAACAAAAGTTCACCAGAGAAGGATGATAATGGTGGCTGTGCAAGTGGAGGATGGAAGAGGTGATTGTCCTTTTTTAAGAACACTTTGCTATGTTGCTGTTTATTCTCTTTGCTGACATGTCTTTATTATGTCTTGTATTGACAGTGAAGATGGAAAATTGGGATGTGGCTATTCAAGCTTCAGAGGTAAAAGAGCTAGCATGGAGGACTTCTTTGATGTCAAGACTTGCAAGATTAATGGGCAGACTGTCTGTCTATTCGGGATATTTGATGGTTATATTCTTTCTCAGCAATCTTTATGATAGAATCTTTTTTTTTAGGAGAAACTTATTATTATTATTATTAATTAATATGTTGACTAATGCCTGAAGATGGTTGATCAAGTGATTTATTACTTATAAAGCAGTTTGGGATTAAATGAAGATGATTCTGGGTTCCTTGAGAAAGAAAAGTTTACTTTTTGGGCTTTCAGTGCTTCCACAAAACTAGCATGCATGTGTTGTGCTTGTGCACACATACATTGATGCTTAACATGTGAAATACATTGATGTTATCTTTTAGACTTTTCAGACATGTCTGTTCTACTTCTTACTTGAAGATGGTTAGCTTTGTGTAGGTCATGGTGGATCACGTGCAGCCGAGTATTTAAAGGAAAATCTTTTCAAGAATCTCATGAATCATCCAGAATTTTTGACAAACACCAAAGTGGCCATAAGTGAGTACCTATGGCTATGACTTATATATAAAAATGAAAAAAGAAGAGAAATTTATAAACTTGAATGAATGAATTAACAGGTGAGACTTATCAGCAGACTGACTCAGACTTCTTGGAGTCTGGAAAAGATACGTTTCGTGATGATGGTTCTACTGCTTCAACAGCAGTTTTAGTAGGCAATCATTTGTATGTTGCTAATGTTGGAGATTCTCGAACTGTCATATCAAAGGCAGGAAAAGGTAATTTTTAGAAAAATTGCCTTTTCTATTTTCTTTCTTATAACTTATAAATATTTTCCTCTTTAAACGGATTCATAATTTGTATTACTCAATTGATAGCTATTCCTCTTTCCGAGGATCACAAACCAAATAGAAGCGATGAGAGGAAGAGAATTGAAAATGCTGGTGGAGTTGTGATGTGGGCAGGTAATGGTAATTTTATTATTTATTTATTTATTTACTTAAGTGACATGTTTCGGTATATGTTCTGGTTTAATGTTTTTCTTTTTCAGGTACTTGGAGGGTTGGAGGTGTTTTAGCAATGTCACGTGCTTTTGGAAACCGTATGCTGAAGCAATTTGTTGTTGCAGAACCCGAAATCCAGGTAATTATCGCGTAATTTTTAGGGTTTTTTTTTTTATTATTATTATAAATAATATACTTCAACTCGAATGTGTTCATTAGGTCAGAACATAATTTCCTTTTCTGGTGATGATGCATTAATGAATAATGATATGTCAATTGTATGCTGTTAGAAAATTCCTTACTGTTGAAAATCATGACCTTTGCATAAACATATTCTCTTGATTTTTACTGATTGTTGGTTTGTTTTTTTCATCAGGAACAAGAACTGGATGAGGAATTTGAATTACTTGTTCTTGCAAGTGATGGTCTCTGGGATGTTGTACCAAATGAGGTATACAAAGTTATAGATCTCATTGATTCTCCAATATTTAATATTAATATTATATAAACAAATGAATAATTCTATATTTCTCATATTTTCCAGGATGCTGTGACACTGGCATTGTCAGAAGAAGAGCCTGAGTTAGCTGCTAGAAAGTTGATAGAAACTGCTTTTAGCCGAGGAAGTGCTGATAATATCACTTGCATTGTAGTCAGGCTTTATCATCATCAATCTCCACCACCTACAATAGACCCCCCTCAAATCCAAACTGATGATACCCAAACCCAAACCCAAACCCAAACTGAAACTGAAATCCAAACCCAAAATGAGAATGAGAATGAAACCAAGACTGGACCAATAGATGGCTGAATGATTGATTTGGTTGGTGTTGTATGATGATGACTGAAGTAGGGTCTGAAGCTCCAAGGGTGCGTTTGTGCGTGCATATTGTTCGTAGCTGTTGATACATGTGTTTATCATCTTGTCATCTTAAGTGAACCCCAAAAACGACTGTCTGTTTGTTTGTTTATCTGTCTGTCTCTTGAACGCTTATCTTACCCGTCCACCTACCTACCCGGTGTAAATTGTGTCTTTTTTATTTTTTTTTTAATTTTTTTATCTTATGGTTTTTTTATCAACAATAATGCGACATTAATTAATTATTCAAGAATCTTTTTATTTGCTACATGGAATGGATCTTGCAAACTTATAACGGTGTTTCTTAATTCTTATATGTTAAACCAAAAATCAGAGCTCTAATAGACTTTGTTAGTTCCATGTATCAATGTATGGCATGTTAGCTTGAGTTCCACTGTTGCATCTAATGGACTTTTATTGTCAAAAATTTAAACGCATCTATATCATTATGCTATCCATATGGAAAAAATGTTTGAATTTGTGCTCCATACATTCGTCACATACTAGTAAAAAAAACAGAAAAAAGGGTAGAATTCATGGTCAATTGCTTTGGAATTGGAATGGACTATTTTAGAACATACACATAGCCATAAGTGTACAAACACATTGAATATGATCAGGTACCAACTTTTCGGTGTTTCGTTCTTCGATTTACCATAATGCCCTTCTATAGGATGAACGGCGTAACCGAGTTCACGAGAAACAGGAAATAGTTAAGAGTGCTAGTTATGTATGACTGAAATAAGATTAATCATGTATGCTAAACACGTAAAGATTAATGGTGTAATTTATATTCCAGGACATTTACATTCAAAATGAGAAACATCACTTATTAATGTATATAAAAGGGTAGTATAGTAATTAGCCTAAAGGTGCATTGTATAAATTTTAGTGGCATAACAACTCTACTCAACCATGGTAAAAAGTTAACCCTGGTTAAGTTAACTGGTTAGGGTTCACTCCAAAGAAAAAAAAAAACTAGATCGAGCCCATCTGAGTCTACCCATCTTTTATATTAGTGTAAATTCCTAATTTTTTAAGAGATAGTATTTCTTATTGTAGTGGCATATCGAGGGCTGATTGTTCTTCAGCCATTCTCCGAGGGGTTTTTACCAAACTTTCTCTTCGGTCTTTTCCTCTCCCTTACACAACAATTTGGTGGGAAATTGCAAAGGTCAAACAATAATCAAATCCTATGCGGATTCAAATTCCTTCGAACATCAATTGGTAAATTACTCTCGTTTCTTTCAATTTCACTTGCATTTCACGTAATTCGAATCTAGGGTTTGACTTTCGTTTACTCTGTTTTGGGATTTTAGTGTTGATTTGCTTCAATTTCGACTTCATTGTCAATTGTCAGATTACTTAAGTTTTTCAGATTTGCGTTCAGCGTTTGTAATTTGAATCTCATGTTTGTTGTCGCTGTGACACTTGTTTAACTTCATAAGCAACTTTATAAGTTTCGGATTTTAGGTCTGATTATTAGTTGCTTTTGCGACTATCTTTGTAGTTACGTAATAATCCATGATATATTTTTTTTCTTCCGTCTCGGTCGAAAATTTGAATCTGAATTGTTATAAAATGTCTATCTCATAATTGACTCTGATCATTCATTAGTTTGTGCACCTGATGTTTCACTGCAGCACTTCAATTATTATAAATGAATGAGGTAGTGAGATACATATAGCAACTAGCAACACAAGTGGTGTTGGTTTAGGTTTTAGATTTGGATGTCTCAGTAATTCAAATTTCAGTAATGTTGATTGATGTAATTATGCGGTATCGTTTGAAATCTTTAGATAACCTAATCATCTTATGATTCTCATCTCATAAATTGGTATGTGTATCTTGTCTTTGTGCATGAAGATGGGTAGAAGCATGTTAGTGGTTAGTGATTACATTATTAAGGTTGAATTAGAGTAATGTAATTTTAATGCATATGTTTCACAGAGTTGCAATGTAACTGCTTACTTTTGGCATAATTTGAATCTCACATACCTAATAGAAAAGATACCCATTCCATCATAATACCCTCTAGAAAAAGAAAGTCATTTACGATTATACTACAACATGACATGATGTCTTTTAATTAACATGTCTATTCTGTCATTTCAGGTATCTTGTCTTGATTCTTCCACCATTTCTATCACAAAGGGAAAGACCTTGATTTTTAGCCTTGAATACCCGTGCTTTCTCTTTCACTCTGTTCTGAATTATCTATAGGAAGAGAAACTGACAAGGAAGCATTGAGAGTCACCTTCAAAACTCATGGAATGCAATAAAGATGAAGCAATTAGGGCAAAAACAATCGCTGAAAAGAAATTATCTGATAAAGATTTTCCTGGTGCTAAGAAGTTCATCTTAAAAGCCCAAAACCTATATCCTAGTCTTGATGGCATCTCTCAGATGTTGACCACTCTTGATGTGTATATCGCCTCAGAGAACAAGATAAGTGGAGAAGTTGATTGGTATGGGATACTCGGTGCAAACCCTAATGATGATGAAGAAACAATCAGAAAACACTACAGAAAGTTGGCTCTTTTGTTACACCCTGATAAAAACAAATCAGTAGGTGCAGATGGTGCTTTTAAACTTCTTTCAGAAGCATGGAGTTTGTTATCTGACAAAGCTAAAAGATCATCCTATAACCAAAGGAGAAGTATGAGAGCATTCCAACAGAAAGTTTCAGTTCAAGTTCCACCTCCTTCAGCTCCTGGTGCCAATGGAGCCCACACAAAGCAACCACCTTCAAAGCCAAACAACCGGACTACAACCACCGCCACTAGGCCGCCAGCTCCTCCACCACCTTCCCGCCCACCTCCACCTCCACCTCCGCTTCGTACCGATACTTTTTGGACAATTTGCCATCGATGCAAGATGCATTACGAGTATCTAAAACTATATCTCAATCATACTCTTTTGTGTCCCAATTGTCACGAGCCGTTTCTAGCCAAGGAAATGCCGCCACCTGTCAACCTCCCGAAACCATCTTCTTCATCTGCTCACCACCATCAGAATCCAACTAACCATGTAAAAACCACAAAAGTCCAGGGAGGCCCTTTCACAAAACCAAATGTGCCTGCAGACCCCTCGGTTGCAACAAAAGCAGCAAGTGTTATTCAGCAAGTAGTTGCTGACAGGTTGAAAAGAGAACGTGAAGAATTCTATGCTAATTGGCCTTCAAAAAAGAGAAAAGCAGATGATGATAGTCAAGGCTCTGGTGTTAAGATCCCGTTTCAGATGTCAACAACAGGGGTAAAAATGACCGGTTTTGAGACAGCTAATTTAAATAATAGGTTAAATAGAACTAGGGAGTTGACTCCATTAGAAAGCCGAAACATGTTAATGAAAAAAGCCCAAACAGAGATTAAAAAAAAACTAATCCAATGGGAATCCGAGGAGAAATCGAAAGAAAACTTAAACAAAAACAACCCATCATCTCAAAATCAAAATCAAAATAGCAAACAAGTTTATGAACAAGAAAATGGAGAAGAAGAAGAAGAAGAAGAAGAAGAAGAAGAACTTGCAATGAATGTTCCGGATCCCGACTTCCATGATTTTGACCTTGAACGCACTGAAAATTCATTTGAAGATAACCAAGTGTGGGCTGCTTATGATGATGATGATGGAATGCCAAGATTCTATGCTTTGATTCATAAAGTTCTTTCAAGAAAACCACTGAAGATGAAAATCAGTTGGCTAAATTCAAAAACCACAGCCGAATTCGGAAGCCTAGAATGGTTGGGTTCGGGTTTCCGGAAGGTTTGTGGGGAGTTTAGAATCGGGAGACATGAACTCTACAAAACCCTAAATTCATTCTCCCAGAAGGTTGAGTGGACAAAATCCCAACGTGGGAGTGTTTTGATTTTACCTAGGAAGAACCAAGTGTGGGCCCTGTACAGAAACTGGTCGCCTGATTGGGACGAGAATGTTCCGGATGATGTGATACATAAGTATGACATGGTGGAGGTTCTAGAAGATTACAATGAAGAAAAAGGTGTTCCGGTCAGCCGTCTTTTGAAGCATGCTGGATTCAGAACTGTTTTTCATCCTGTTACAGACGAAAGTGAAGTGACAGTCATTCCAAAAGAAGAAATGTTTCGATTCTCACATCAAGTCCCGAAATATGTCTTGAATGGGACAGAGGGGCAAAATTGTCCAAAAGGTTGCCTTGAGCTGGATCCAGCTGCTACGCCTTCTGACCTTATTCAAGAGGACACCATTGAGAATGATGGTGTGAAGGGCAAGATTGGAAATGGTGAAGAGAAGAAGATATAGCTACAGTGGAGGTAAGTTTTTTTTTTTTTTTTTTTTGGGTAGTAGTTTGATTTTGTATGGAGGATAATGATAATGACTCACATTTTGTTCATGACATGGGCTGACTATCTGTGAGGTCTTTTTGTGCAAAAAGGTTTTACATTCATGGTATAGAACAGAACAGAACAGAATAGAATATAATCTGTTGAAAAGATTTGTATGGATCATGATTTATTCCTAAATCAGGACTAACTTCAGTTCTGTTCCAAAACTATTTAGTATTTACTTTTTACTCCACCAACAGCTTTACTTTTTTATAGATAAGATATTGGAACTTATTTAGATCGTTAAAAGTTGAGTCTTGATCTTTTGGTAAATTATTTGAAATATTTCTCTGTGTAGGGAAATATATTCCATTATTACTTCTACTTATTTGTGAGAGGTAGCAACTTCTGATACGGATGAACATATGTTCTTTATTTATGAGCATATACCATGAATTACTCTGTTTAGTTGTGAGAAGTAGCAGCTTTTACTGATTAATCGATCTTTGTATCCACTATTATACTAAACACCACTAAAGAGGCAGCAACTTCAATCACAGATGAATCGATAATGATGTTATGATGAATAAATATAAGATTATAACTTGTTTTTTGCTATATGTATTATGAAATTAATTTATCAGGGTTTTTGTTTGACTGATGTTCATCCAATTTTTGGAAACCGAATGGAAATTGTTTTGCTATGTTTCTCTAAGTTGGATAACGATCCCCTATATTTGATAGTGGCTTTATTCAATATTTTCAATCACGTAAAATTTATGCGATCCTCCAATATTTTTGGGATTTGATTTTTGGTTGTTAAGTTATGAATATTTAATGTTTTAGGGTTTTTTTTAACCATCATACCCTTATGGTTACAATCTAATCTCACGATTACGAAGCAACAGATTTAGGAACCTAGTCGCTGGTTATGTGGTTAGATTGTGTTATTTGTTATGTTGTCTAATCTCATTTTGTAGGTTTTACAAAAAAATTGCATACATTTACATTTTAGTAGGTTAAAACCCATAGAAACCACAGTTAACTGTAGGGATGTCAACAGGACCAAAACGGGGTGGAAATAGCTACCCCCGACCCCAATCCTGGCCCGGAATTCTCTTGTTTCCCCGCCCCCGTTTCCCTTGAGAATCCTTTATTAACCCGTTTATTTTGTTTAACCTTATTTACCGTATTTTTAACTTGTTTATTTCGTTTAGCTTTAATATTACACAAATTACTCAAATACACAACATATATTACACAATGACTATTCTGTCTAATATTTATTTTTTATAAATAAGGTAATTACGTCGGAGACCCCACGTGGTATTCAGGACAAAACTCATCGTTCCCAAAAACTAAACGGGGGTAAATCCCTCCCTTGAACCCGAAAATATTATTCCATATTAATAGTCCATGTTTTTTTTGTCCCAAAATAATAGTCTATTTCTAATAATAAATATGTCTTTTACCATAATAACCCTCATTACTAGTTAAATTACCATGAAATTAAATGTAACTACCAAAATTAAATGCAATAAAAAGGTAAAATTGTCATTTCATTTAATAAAATTAATGTTAATTAATGTTTTCTTAATGTATGTTTTTTGTCGGTGGACAATTATTTTGGGACGGCGGGAATATAAAAGTACTCTTGTACAAAAACGAGGTCCAAAGTGGGTTTCTAACATCCCTATGGTTAAGAAAAGAAAAACACTATTGATATTTTAAAATGGTAATGACAAATCAAAGATTTATAAAAATTTATTAAATTACAAAGATAGAAACTTTGTCTATAAGTTTATAACGATTAGTTAAAATTAGTATATATTGTTATGAATATCTTATCTACGTTCTATATATGTAGACATTTGTTAAAATTATGATTTTATACCATGCAATATAAATTTGAATAGAGTAAGAAAAAAATACAATAAATTATGGAAATGACATTGTTATTGACAAATTAAAAGTAACGCTAATGTAATAATATACATAAACACAACACAATAAGTTACAAATTAAAATGATGAATGAAGTGTGATTTACTGAAATTAAGTAAAAAAATGATATAAAAAATTAAAATCTACAAATTGTTTATAAATTTCTAAAAACTTTTTTATACACAACATTGGACGTTATGTTTGTAAGTCTACCATCTGTATCTAAAACAATTTTAATCATTCTCTACTTTGAACTCTAAATAAGACAACATACAATTGCCCATGTGTAAAACAAGATCTTTGAGAAAACAAACCAACATTCAATAACGGTTGCCCTTGACTCTTATAATATGTCATTGCAAAACATACAACCAATGTTTATAATATTTCATTGCAAAACATACAACCAATGTAAATTATCTTTTTTGGAATTTGAAGAATTTTAGGACTTAAAAGACATTCTTGGAAAAAATATTAGGTTTCCAATATTACTTTTAGATATGATAACTGCCACAAGAACACGTTTGCCCAAATATATAACTTGTAGTCTAGTGTCGTTACATAAGCCATTTTCTGATCAATGTTTCTCAATAACATAACTGGAACCCCAACTTTTAAAATCAACTTATGATTTGGCAGACCTGACACTTTAAAGCAACATACATACAATTGTCCATATATGAAAACATATTCTCTAAGAAACAAACCAACTTCCGATGAGAACTGTCATTGACTCTTGTTAGTGGCATTACAAAACATACAGACAAGAAATTGTCTTTTGAAATTTGAAAGGATTTTGTTCCAGACAGAGTTAAAAACATTCTTTGAATAAAGGTTTGGTTTTCAATATTATACAAATAGTCTTTAATCATAAATTTACAAACACTTCTTTATATATAATAATGGATGCTATGCTGGTAAGTCTATAATGAAATATTATTAAACTTACTTACTAACAATTCATTTGCAAATCTACGATCCTTATCTAAAAATTAACAATTTTAATTCTTCCCACTTTGAACTCTAGATAAGAAAACATATAAATGTCCATGTATGAAAACATATTCGCTAAGAAACAAACCAACTTTCTATAAGAATTGTCATTGACTCTTATTAATTGTTATTACAAAACATACGAACATTGGAAATTGTCTTTGAAATTTGAAAGATTTTTTTTTTGCAGACAGAGTTAAAGACATTTTTGGAATAAAAGTCTGGTTTCCAATATTAGACAAATATAATATTTAATTATAAATTTGCAAATTTTTTTTTTGCATATAATAATGAATGTTATGTTGGTAAGTCTATAATAAAATATTGTTAACCTTACTTACTAACAATTTGTTATACATAGTAATATAATATTTTCAAATACTTATTTATATATTACAAAAAGATAGAAAATGTTCCACACATATTTGTAGTATCTAAAAAACATTTTCATGTAGTTTAATTTGAGTTTTAGTATATTTGTGTTTTTGGAAAACAATGACAACTTCAAAATGAAATGTGCTTTCAATAAAGAGGAGATTCGTAGCATATATACCCTTAGCTAAATAGATTCCCATAAAGTCGGGTAAATGAACTCTCACCCATGAACAATACATACCCTACCTTGTAACTAATTACTCTCTTTGTAGTTGGCTTTCCATAATAATTCAACTTTTTAGATAATTTTATTGTTTTTCCTTAAGTATATGTCTAATGCTATTTCTCTGCCTCTCATTTATACAAATTGCCTATGAATGATATAAAGAAACTGCAACGAACCGAACTTTCTGTCATCTATTCTATGAGAATTATCAGAGTTTTATCTACAATGCAGAATTCTAAACAAATTAAAAGCTTACTTCCCAGGACACATCACAAGTTTACAATAAAAATCTACATACAATTTAGAACAACAAAGAAAATACATTAAATATCAACCTACTAACTAAGTCTTCCTTGTGCTCATGTATTCTCTTCTGCTACCACGGTTGCTACAACCTGAACCTGCAAAACATAAACATCTGCAGCATCAGACACAACGTGTCTGGTAAGTTATTCTTCTATCCTTTCTTATCTTTCATCTTTCTTTTTCTATCGCATGCTCTATCATCTAACTCTTTTTCTAATAGCATACACTGCTATTCTTTTCTCTTCTTCCATCTATCTCTTCTACTCTTCTCTAATATTCCTCTCTATTCTTTCTCATCTCATCTATCTCTTTCTCTGCCATCTAATCTATTTCTCTTACTCTTCTGTTAGTCACTTCTTAGGCTCTTCTGATGATCTATCTATATTTTAACTTTATCTCTAACTATGTCTCTTCTCTGCTCTAACTCTTACTATGTTCTCTGCTTTATCCCTTCTCTACTCTTAGTATGCTTTCACATACTCTGCTTACTCTTCATCTCTCTCTTTATCCCCCCTCTCTCTTTATTCTAAACTCTAAAGCCTCAACATTCTTTTCTCATTTAGACCCAAAGTGTGACTATTGTAAAATCAGGTCATTCCTAGACTCGAACATCTCATATGTAGCATGTAGACATATCATATACTAGACCTAATAGTAGAAATTAGGTCAGAAACTTCTTGAAACTTGGAGTCAATTAGAAACAAAAGCTAGTATACTCAATTTTTATATAGCTTCGGAATCGTCCAATTTACTTATAAAATGCCAAAGCTCAATCTCAAAACTTTAACACAAAAATCAAGTTCGATAGATCAAAGCTCAAGGATAGATTAAATTACCTAACTTCCTAATTGGAACTTATGAAATGCTTAACTAATTTAAGTATTTAACAAACTCAAATTAATTAAATCATGATATGATTTAATTACAAGTTGGAAATATTGTCTACACATCACAATTCGAATTATTACCAAAAACATAATTCAAACATTCATCTAATCAAACATTCTCATTTTATAAACTCTTATTTTCATCATATGAAATAATATAATATTTATGTTTATAAAATGTAAACTATAAGCTAAATTATTTATCAAAATGACAAGAATCTGTGGACTTATTTCTAAAAACAAAAAT